AAGATTTATCAAACTAAAAAAACCAAACTTATCTAAAATTTTAATTTTAACAACAATAATTTTATTTATATTGACAAATTTTTTTATTTTTTTATTGATTATTAATACAATAAATTCAATATCATATATTAGATTAAATTTATTAACTTATATATATATCTTTTTTATAATACTTAATTATAATTATTATTTCAAATTCTTAATTATCTAAAAATTTGATTTATTAAAAGTTTAAAAATTTTTTTTTTTTTTATATGCTGGACTTGGCCAAGTTTATTAGCAAGTTTTACTATTTAGGTATATCTGACCAGAAGAGAATAATGATAAGCTATTAAACTAATGATAGGTTAAAAAGAAACCACCTCATGGCTAAGCCATCTCCAAATAGAGACCTAATGAAGGAGCCATTAGAACAATAAAAATTTTAAAAGGGGGTTGGTATATATCAAATCTAGTTTGTCTATCTTAACCCTAAAAAGAGGAATATATGTTCTAATGTTAATCTTCTTGAATAGATATCTACTGCTAAAAGAAATAATTGGAGACAATAGCTATACAAGGATCAATAGGGGAGAGGACTTGGTATGAGAGGGAAAATGGTAATTTATTATAAAATCGACACTTGAAACCATGCTATTTCTACCATTTCTTTACTGTTGACTGGGTACTCTTCGAGGACTTCATCAGTTGAGAGCGCAATGTCTGTTCCTCAGTTACTTTTAGTACTTCATGTTATAGTTCTTATATCTTCCAGTTTCGATCCTATGTTTTACCTTACCCTGTTTATGTTGGGTCTTCTTTTGATGTTTCTCCAAGTAACCAAACAAGTCAAAGAGGTTTTCGAGGAGGTCTAGAACTGGGGTTGAAGAGAGTTGAAAAGAAAGGGCTATAGGGATGAGAGTACAAGGTATGGGGTCTTTGTTGTCCAGTAAATCTGTCTTTACTTACCCATTGCAATAACTCTCTAGAAAAAGAATCTTGGTCTTTCTGGCATGCGCCTTCACTGGCCTTGATAAATGTTGCTTTTGAAGTACTACCATCTTGGAGAAGTTGATCCACTATACCGTCTACATCAGCAACTTCTACTGATAATTTTATTTTCAATTGGACTAATAATCCCAAGGGATCTTCCAGTTTTCAGGCTTGTATAAGTAGATGGTACACTTTCAAGACTTTGCCTTCATTCTATATCTTCTTGAGCATCTTGTTCTTCTTATTTTCCTAAGTGGCGGTAGATAATTTTCTTGAAGATTATTTTCTTTCTTAATATTCAATGACGTGTTCGGAGGCAATGTCTGACGAGACACGTGGAATGATCAATAGGAGCTTGTTTATATTCTTTTTACTAATATGAGCTCTATCTGTCCAATAACGGTGTGCGAAATTTTGTGCTACTTAAAATTCAGGGCCAAACTGAGATAGGTAAAATCTTCTAGAAAAAACCAAAAACAAGCACTATGAGAAGTTGACACAATGACAAGAGAGTGGGGAAGTTGTCTCTCATCATTAACAGACTTCTGTGGTATTTCTCTACAGTATGAGATGATGACACATTAGTTCTTTTTCCTTTTGGAACTTTCTTGCCATTGATAGAAAAGGTTTTACTTGATCTTTAAGGTTACTAGGGGTTAAGTTTTTGTTTGAAAAGAATGGTAAACAAGAGGAAAGGGGATAGTTGATGTCTCTTGAAGCTTCTTCAAGTTGGTTTAAGGAAAGTAATAAGACTTTATTAGCATAGAAGTATAAAAACTTCTTGCAAACATCTTTTTTGTATGTGGTCAGAGAATCAGCGGAAAGAATTCGATGACCTGTAAATCAAATATATATAAAAATATGTTAATTATAAAAAGTTAATAAAGAATATAAAAAGTATACAAAAGAGATTATTTCTTTATTCCAATCAGGCTGTAAAACTGAAAAGTAGAGAAATATAAAACACTGCTCTTCTTTAGAATTGAGAATATATTTTTTCAAATATTATATAATAATATCATAATCAAGATAAATATCAGTAAAATTCTTTTAACTAGATGTAGCTATTGAAAGATATCAGGAGTTATATAATAAGACTGAAAAGCTATATAAGAATCTAGGATTTATTATTAATCATTTTTTTTACACAAGTGAATATAAAATTAAGAATGAAAGAAAGGAAATGTTAAACAGGATACTGAATTTAAGTAGGTAATAAATATCTTAGATGGTTATATGAAAATAATCAAGATCACAAATGGATAAGTTCCTTGGATATAATGATGGATCTCTAATATATTTAATTTATAAAATTTTGTAGATCACTTATGTTCCTTTTTGAGGGATAAAATTCATAGCTCTTCACTTTAATAGGAACAAAAATCAGGAAATATTATAAATCAATAATTTGAATAATAATGAATAATTGTAGATAGTTTTTTTATAGTTATTAATTTAAAAATTTTAATATTTTCTAGTATAAAATATTTGACTTTTGTCCTTGCCTCCTTGTTTAGAAACCCATCTTTACTCAGACATTCAAAAAAAAAAAAAAAAAAGAATATCCTAGAAGTGTTGTATTTTAATAAGCAAAGATTTCTTGTAGAGATTCTTTAGAGGATATGAAGCCCTTTTATTTTTATTTTATTTTTTTTATTTTTATGTAATAAAATTTTATATTTTTGACTATTTCCTTTTTTTTTTTTTTTTTTCTTTTCCTTTTGTAGTGTTCTTGAAATCAATTCTTTGAAGAATAATAATCAGTAACAATCTGCTAGTAATAATAGGTAAATTAAAAAAGTATTTATTCAAAATCTACTACAATACAAAATATTGTTCCCAAGATCATACTTTAAGACTAAAGCTCTTTTAAAAATAAAAGCTATTAATGAGTAAGTCAGTATAAGATTTAGTTTAGCCATAATACAATTGCATTATATATCTTTACTAGTTTTTATAATATACTGTGCTAGCCTAATCATAGATAATTAAAAAAAAAAAAAGTTATATTCAAAGATAAGTTGAATATAAATATATTTTTTGAAATAAAGATTTCTAATATATAATAAATCTTTTTAAATAATATAAAAAAAAATCAAAATTAAATTTCTTAAATAATTAAAATATATATATATTTTTTAATAAAAATATTAATTTATTAACAAATTTCAAACATATTGAATTTTTAAAAAATATAAAAAAATTTTTTGTTACTTTTTTTTTTTTTTTTTTAATATACATTTGTATAATTTATAGATATATTTCTTTTTCTCTCCTTTTCTTTAATATAATTTCTTATTTTATTTCATAATTTGAAAAATAATTGACTTTAACAATTGTATTTATCTAAAATAATTATGAATATCATATTTTTTTCATAATCAAACTTAAAGACTTTGACTAAAAACAAATTTATTAATAGAAGATTTAGTTTAGTTTAGATCATATATATATATAATAATCAAATATATTTTGTACTAAATAGTTAATTGACATAAAGAAATTTATGCTATTAATCTGGTTTAATGAATTATTAAAAAAAAAAAAGTCAATATACATGTAGTTCAGTAAATATAAATTATTATAGAATCTCTATTAATAAAATTTAAGCATTAATAATTCAACTAGTATAGGAATTATAATAGAATTTGTAATAGATTGTTTTTAAAGAAACAAAATTACTTCTTAAGTTGCATTTAAATAATATTAATTAGAATAAAATTTGCATTGTTTCGCTGGTGAAACATTCTTCTCAAGTCAAATGTTGAACAAGTTGTAAATTATTTTTAATTTAATTCAGATAGTAAATAAATAAAGATAAAAAAACCAAGTTTAAGTAAAATCGTCATTTAATCGCCCCTTAATAAGTTAAGCTTTTTTTTTAGGTAACGATGGCCAATAGGTTTATAAAGATTACTAGAGTATTTTCTGTAATTTGGCATTCTAATTATCTTTATTTACCTTGGTTGTGTCCAGTTGAACGACTATACCTGATAACCTTCTAGGCATTCGGCGTCCTTCTCTTTCATTGCATGTATTTTTGAAGCGATAAACAATCAGCCAAACATGGGGACCAACGGTGGAACAATTATCAGCTTCACATCTACACCTTCCTTACACGCCGTAACCAGCCGAATGCCTTCGCACCATCCAAACGGCTGCGCAAACTTCACCTTTCAACTCCCTTCAAGTAAGTGAATAATACTATAAATCGATATTCCTTTTTTTATGGGGACAAAATTTTTGTCTCATTAAAAGTTTTGCTTATGCGGTCATTCATCATGGTTGATTTTAACTTGCTAACTATTATTTTCTTAATTTTGTAAAACACTAGTTGCAAATGCATCAAAAAAGTAAGTTGTTCAAATTTCTATTTATTTGAGTCGAAGTTCTTTATAACGATGCCGTTATGTCATATTTTATGATATATCATATATAACGGATTGTTATTTTCATACAAATTTGGATTTTCTTGCATCCAGATTTCGGTTAGTACTTCGTTGTAATGGACTTTGATTGTGTATATATTAGTTTATTTATAGATAAAATGATTTTCATATCCTAACAAAAATGTATATTTCAATTAAACAATAGAAACACAAATTCAGCTGAGAGGCGTGCGAATCATAATGCTGTCGAACGTGCTCGACGAGAATGTTTAAATACAAAATTTCAGGAGCTTGCCCACGCTCTACCTTCATTAGCACAAGTTCGTAGGCCTTCAAAATCAATCATTGTACAAAAATCATTAGACTTTATTTATACAGCTCGCCAAAAAGATGACTTGCATGATAAAGAGATGCGAAGCATTCGGAGCGAAAATGAATCATTGCGTGAAGAAATAAACAAATTGAGAGAACAATTAGGTTTAGATCCTTTACCGCCAAGAGAGGAAACTCCTCGAATTTCTGATGACGCGAAAGAGGATTCCAACAAAAACACAGCGGAAATAAAGAATGAAGCTGATAATTCCACCACCAACAACACCACTACTACCGCAGCCACCACCACCACCACCACCACTGTACATGAACCTAAATGTTCCACCGATGTTCTAATCAAATCTGAGGATTCACGATCCGATGATGACTGTAGTAATGGAAACACGGACGATGATTATGAACTAGATTCCTCGGAACTGATAGATGGTAAAAATGTTGAGGCGGATCAAACAGATCAGCACATTGAAAACCCATCTTGTTTGTATGGCAGTATGTATATATTATATATGTCCAGTATTTTGTTTTTGAATTTTTGAATGTCTCATTTCCTTGAAATCCTCTAAAGATTCATCTTTTTTTACGCCAGATATGATGTACCAGCCCATGATAGACTCCGGTTTGAATCATCATGCTGGTTACCAAGATTTTGACTTTCAAATGGATATGACACAAATGGACCACTTGGTAGATGCCAACTCGTTAAATCTGCACTTTGAAGATCAGTTGAATGGTAAGTACTTTAAAGTCAACATATATTGTGTATAATAATCGGGATAGTTACGGATAATACTTACGTTTTTTCTCAGTAGCACATGATATGGGTGCATTTTGCGGTTCATTTCCAATACAACAAAAATATTATCCATCTCCGCCATACGAATCAGCAACAATGATGGATCTGTCTGGACAAATGCCATTTTCTATCTCACCTGAACATTCACATATGTAGATTCTCGAACATATGTCAACATGTTTAGCATTGTGAATATTTGGACTATTTAGGCTGGCGAACTTAATTATCGTCAACCTCCATTGAGGAACTTTTGGTTTATAATTTGCGCATATTATCATAATTTAATATCTTATTTATTGTATTATCAAATAGATTTTCCTTCTTTTTTTTTTTCTTGCGTTCTTTAGAAGTTTTGGGTTCAAGTTCTTATTCCCTATTCCCCTACATCTTATTCTTTTGACTCGGCTGATTGTTTATCTATCAAAAACTACCCATCACTACACTGTATTCTACATTCTTTTTCACACATCACGCGGTATTATTACCCCCAATTCCCATTTTCAGTTTGCATTATTTATATACACCATTCTTGTAATACATCATGATAATTTTAATTACTCCTCCTATTAAATTCTTATATTCTTGGGTAATGCATGTTAAAACATTGGACACCCAGTATATATATTTCTACCGAAAAGATTTTTTTTTTTCCGGATCCACTTTTTTTATTATTTATCATTGTCTATTCCGAGAATGTGTCGTTATCAGAACTTGAAATGAAAGCTGGGTTATTGTTTACTGCTTTCCTCGTATAATTTCACTTATAATGTATATCTTTCATAGCATGTTTATGGGTCCATGATCAAATCGATGATCACAAAATATTGCTAAGACCTGTCGACATGTAGTGATTAATTTTATAAAAAAACAATATTCGTCACATTAACAATGATCATGCTTCACGAGTGACGTATTGCAATCATTATTATCTGCCTTTATCGTTTTGTCGACTAATTAATCCTATATAGCTATACTAGCTAGATCGGCAGCATCAACTGTACGAACACAGAATAACTTTCACCGATACTAAACAACCCGAAATTTTAATCCAAGAACTTTTGTTTGTGATTGAAATTAAATAGCACAACAGAAATGTGGTCATAACATATCGGCGGTTTAATTTTAAATATCCGAGTATAGTGTAACAAAATCTAACGGAGATATTGATACCCGAGAGTTCGTGGTCAATTCTTTTATTCGGCGTAATTATAGAAAGGCATCATTTATCTTTGTGATACATGACATTAAGTGTGTCTTTACAAAACACCGTCATACAAAATCTCGGACCAATAAAATCTACATTCCCATCTATTCAAATAAAGTTAAAATTATTATTCAGAAATGACTTGAGTGGAACATCGTATAATTCTAAATATTGATTACAAATGTCGGCTTCTACAAAAGAATTAGGCATCTATTAAGGTTGACATTTCTCTTTGTAATGACAATTTTAAAAATTCGTTCAAATTGACTTTGACTCTTGAGAAATGAATGTTCCACCGGCGAAAAGGACCAAAACTTAACTTACAAGTCGGAATAGATATCGATCGTGGGCTCTTTAATACATAACTCGTCGATAATTGAAAAATAATTTTTCATTTTCATGATACTTTGTCCATTTATTGTTATACAGTATATACAGTTTGTTGAACTTGATTATTAAATTAAATATTTCATTTTACAGTATTTTAACGCTAGCTCAACCTTCACGTCAGTATGTAGATGCATTTTTATTTAAATAAAGATCATATTTAGGGACAGCCCGGATGATCGATCATATTTTATTTACTATGGTTTTTTTAATATTATTTACTGTAATATTATTATTTGTTTAAAATTTTTTTTAAAAATTGTATTATTATATAAACAATTAAAAAAAATTTTTTTTAAATGCCGGCTTAACCTTGGTTTATTTGAATTTATGCAATAACAATACATAGAAGACTATTTTAGGATATATTACCTGTTTATTATTATATAAAACTCAATAGAAATAATCTTTTGTTAAAAGAAACTTACTTGTAACTTTTTTTTTTTTTGAGTACCTGTAGTCAGGCTAGATTATCAGTTTATTAATCAATTGAAAACATAAGTACATTTTCATTCAAGCAGCATGATATATACTATAGTTAAACTATTATTCTAATCTAATTAATCCATCGTAAGCATAAAAACCTCTAAGTAGGGATCACAACGGATCAGATCAAATCAGATTTTAGGTTAATCTGATTTGAATCCGATCGGATCAGTTTTTATTTGATCCGATCCGTATCCGAACGGATTTATTTTTATATGATCCATATCTATTCGGTTAATCTGATATTTTTTTAATCATGTTTTTTTTTTTTTTTTTTTAATTCATTTTTTCCTACTTAATGTTTACTTGCCAACTTTAAGTTTTATATATAAACATTTAGCTAATAATTTACATTTTTAAAATTTAAAATTTATTGCCATTCACGATCAT